ATGTTAAGAATAGTAAATATGTGCATGAGAGGTTGACTTCTAAAGTAGTGCAAGTTAAAAAGCCAAGATATAAGGTAGGTGATAGCGTAAGGATTTCCAAGTATAAACATGTTTTTAGTAAAGGTTATACTCCAAATTGGACAGGGGAACTATTTACAATAGCAGAAGTTAAGAATACAAAGCCTGTAACATATATCTTGAAAGATGAAAATGGCAATATAATCAGAGGAGGCTTCTATACAGAGGAGTTGTTAAAGACCAAGTATAAGGACATGTATTTGGTAGAGAAGATAATTAGGAGAAAGGGTGATTCGTTGTATGTCAAATGGCTTGGGTTTCCAAGTAGCCAGAACTCATGGATTTCCACTAAGGATGTCCAAGGGAGCACATCATAAGCTGGGAGCGCGCCCGAGTTCGCGTGCCGAGAGCCGGGTGGCCAAAAAAATGAGCCATATTCCAGACGTGTTTTTCAGTATTAAAAAAGTAGAAAATTTATATAGGGGTGTATAGGTCGAGAGCTGGGTCTTTAAAAAAGTGGCCAAAAAAAGCTCTTCCATTTTTTTCTCATTTTTCCCCTATAAAAAGTGCCCTAAAAGTGCCTCTAAAACGCCGAAAGTGAGGTCATATTGTGGGTTCACCACTACTACTGTACTGTATTGTGATTGGTTTAGCGTCATGTTGTTATGAAGACCAAGAAGAACTTTCCATCATGTTCGATGTGATTTTCGTAGTAGTGTTTGACAAGTCGGTGATATCACGACTGAGTTTTTCATAGTAAGGTTGACCTCATTATAACCGGTTGATTATATTCTTATACTAGAAAATAAGAGTGTGTACTGAGTGGGCTGTACCATGACGTCATGTTTGAGACAGTAATGTGGCGTCATAGGGTCGTTTTGATGCGAGAACGTTGGTTGCAGCTCTTAAATCTAAAATGGCCATTGGCAATAAAGACATCGTCCGATCAAATATCAGATCAGGGAGGTTAATTGTTCCGTGGGTTGTGGTTGTGTCCGGCAGTCCATATAGGGTGTCCGGTGATTCATGTCCTCCTACTAGAGCGGTTAATCTTGCAGAACCTGGTCAAGAGACTATCTGGGAACTTGTGAAGTTCAAGGAGACGAGATCAATAGCAGCTCCTAGCCTTTGAGTCAAATCATTTTGATAAAATTAAAGTTAGCAAGCGCGTTCAGAATTGGCAAATAAAGCTTGTGGCTTCTAAGCTTAGGTCTACCCAAGCTTTTGAGTACGGTTGAACATGTTGAATAAAATATTGAATATTTTCCAATCAAGTACGTTAATTTAAAATAAGGTGTTTTATTTAGCTTGTAATTGCTCAGTACTGACTCCACAGCCTTGGTAAGAGCCAATACAAGATGGGAAGAAGAGTATCTTAACAACGATCAGCATATCTAGTCGATTGTTGCTCTGTGGTCAAGTAAGGACACTGATATAGTTTACTTGTTAGTGCACCAGTGCACGAAACTTTTGGTATGGATAATTGAAAATCCGCCAATCTTCAATATTAGCAATGTGATTATGTTCCCGGTGGTTGGAGCTATAGAAACCGCTGTTGAAAACTCTCTCATTTTTGTCCATCCTATTTGTTTCTACTCATGATTGGGAGGCAACTAGACGTATTTCTACCCAAATATGAATGAAACATGCAAATAGAATGGAGTGAGATGCCTTGTGTAGCTTTGTTGCTGACCAAGACCAGCTGCTTGTTTAGCCAGGGCCATTTTATAATATGGAACAAGTTTCACAAAATTCCCAGATGATCCTGGGATTTTGCCAACGATGTTGTCACATTTACTGGATTCTTCTGTGGCATCTGCACTGCATACTCCTGCAACAATGAAACCTTTGAAGACCTGTTGTGAATTTAAGTAGGTAGTAATTTTATATTGTACTAGCTGTACCCGCGGGCTTTGCCCCGTTTAACTTCTTAATTTTCAAGATGAGCTCGTTCGCATGTCTTAATCACGTCCTGGTTGAAGTTCGTTCGCTATGCTCACTCACTCACTAGTGCTGCACCCTGTTGGTATTTAACTCCTGTTGGTGATTCCTTGTAACTTTAATGCTATTGAACATCATAGAACAGAACCAACTTGTTTAATTGAAACAGCTGTTAAGATTCATTAATTCCTTTTAAATATAAAAAATCATAAGATTAACATGAGAAACTCCAGAGCCACTGGGGCGGAGCCCGAAAACCCGATCAGAATAAAAACTACTTATTTTTTCCTATTTAATGCCCAAAGAATCGGTGTACCGTTCACACTAGTGGTAAAAAGATATACAGCAAATATTTTTTTTTCGTGCACTTTCTGTAAATTAATTAACGCAGCACTCACGCACCATTCAGAACTATAATGACACTTTGGGAGGGACCCTACTCATGGGAGGGAACTTAATCGACGAATTATTAAAACCTAACAAACAATAACACTGTTTAAATTGCTTTATTTTTACACTTCATTCTTATTAATCAAAATAAATTTATATTAATTTATCTTCATTAACGCTGGTAAAATCTATACAAAACGATGGCAAATTTTGTGTAAAATTTCAAAATTTTGAAATATAACTTTACACACTGATTATAAATATACTTTAAGCTACTGGAGAATTTTCCCAGCTTTTACTTATTTTCTACAGATTTGAGTTAAGAGGAGACTCTTACTACGTTCGTTCATCCAATTAAACATAATTATCTACCTCACTGCCAATAATTGTCCACACCTTGAAGTAGCCACGAAATTACTGTCATGAAGGACTGTTGTTTTAATAGTTTTCACATAACAAATCGAAATGTTGTTGTTCAAGCAGCCTCCTTAACCAGTTGTGAGGTACAAGTCATAATATAATACTATATGAGAACAAATATAATCGTGCTAATATGCAAATCGGTGTTCTTGGATTTCAAAAGTTAAGTTTTTATTTGTAATTGAAAAAGTATATAGCTGGATATAAGAATAGTAATGTAGGTTGGCGAAAATGAACAACGCGAAGAATAAAATAAAAATGTCATCAAAAAGAGTATACTTTACTTTTATCATCATTATCAATTGAGATGGGGACGCCACCTAGGTGAGTATTTTAACCAAAATTTGAGTCAAGAACGAGTGTAGAATGGGTAAATCTGTGTAGCTTTTTTACCTAATAAGGTCAGCAGATTCATTTGTTAGGATAATTTATTCAAATCCCAATTGTCTGGGACAGCTGGGTCCAGTCACAATTTTGAACCATCAAAAATCTACTGATTTCATGACAGTTTACAGTTTCCGAAAATATCTGAAAAGTTTTGCAAATACCTGAATGTGTGACTAGTTACCATCTAGAAATGTAGATTACTTTGTTTCTAAGTCTTAGCAAACTGAAGATTTCTTAAATGAGTTTCCCCCTAAGTTTATCTGGTGAACCCAAGATTAGAAGGTGAATTTGTGAGTCACGATTCGTCGCTTCAACAAAGTAAGTAGAGTTTGTATAGAATAATCTAAAACTGCTTGTATTGCTTTTATTGCTCTACACAGGGATTTTGTGAAATATATTATTTTATTAGCAGAATAAAGTGTGTTTAAAACATCTGCCTACCTAGCTGAATGTCATTAGTTGCTGTGTATTTTAGATTACACTCATCTCCATTCATACTTGGCTTAAAATGCCTACTTTGTATGGTCGTCATTTCGATGAAAAGTATTAAGTATTGAATACTGGTATTTCTCTATATTATATAGATTGCTTCCTAACATATTTCCCATAAATTATTAATAATGTTTCGAACAAAATTTGTTGGAAACATTATTTATGACCTATGTATATCAAATTTTATTTTGACACACAGTTCAATACAACAGATATTTTATGTATAGCGCCTTTATAACTGACCTACAAAAATCAATACAACTTTTGATTGCTGTAAGTACTGTAAACAGCCAATTTCTATGTGTTTAAGCTATTATGTAGAGTTTCCTCCGATGTTCATGACTCCCGCTTAAATACGTGGATCCCCTAAAAGCGTATTGGATGATAATTAAAACTGTAATCCATTCATCCAAATAAAATTGCGATAAAAAAAATTGTTAAAAAGCGTACATTGGTCAGTGATAAATTTTGAGATTTTTATTCAAGTACACGTCTCGTCTACAATTCTTTTTGGACCCAACTGTATAATAGTAGTTTTCGTTACTAGTCCCTAAAGTAGGTTTTTTTTGGAACGATCCGGAAATTTGATTAAGTCACAAAAAACATTTTAGGATGAGTTACGAACAATATTTGTCATTACATTGTCATATATTATAGCAGAAAATACCAAATACAGTAACACTGAATGAATTAGGTAATGTAAGAAACTTATAACAAACTTTGTTTGTTTCTTACATAACCTAAAACAAATGTTGTACATGTGTGTTAAATGTTTCAACAATATATAATATTGTTGAAACATTTTAAAGGATCAGAACAGCTGATTTGTTTTTTAGCTAAGCTTTGACATAACCATATGATTCGAGTCAGTAAAATTTTACGGACTAGTCCGCAAAAAGCTATCGGGACTCAAAACGATCCGTAAGACAGCTGTTTTTGAGACAGTGTAATGAAAAATTTGTTTTGTCTCAAACAGAACACAGTTGATTGAGCATTTTGCTAATATCAAAGTACTATTATTATATTTTTCTTAAAATACTTGATACTTTTAATGCTTTAGTTCACGTTGACAATCCTGTATAATGAATATTCTTTTCAGATTTGTATGAGCAAGAAAAAACATGTATCTTACAGTAGCTCAGTCGAACTAAGATCCAGTCAGAAAAACGCAGCCATATTGTAAAATCTATGAGGTGGGAGTTGTTCAATTGTGTATCCCTTTGTTTCATCGTCTTGCTCCACTTGTGGTTGAATATGGGGAAAGACTAGTCACTCTTGGATCGGCACCTATGGGTATTCCAAAGGAGATGGGATAACGCCGGTACAGTGGTGGTGGTAGTAGGTGTGATATACGCACACTAGTATAGCCAGCTCAGTACTCCGTCCACCACCATGGCGTCAACACACTGGTGTATCTGTGTGTTAGTGTGTGTCGTTGTCAGTGTGTCAGCACTACTGTTGGAACAGCCAGGTAAACAATGTTGAGTAATTACAATAAAAAAAAAAAAACAATTTAAAACATAGACAAAATAACTGACCAATTTGATACTGCAGTCATGCAATTACAATTTGTTGGAGGACGTAATTAATTTAATTTGTATATATTATTTAAACTTTAATTAATTGTCAATAATAATCGATGGAATGGAATACACTATACTGTTACTGTGCACTGCATTTAATTAATTAAATTTATCTATTTCCGCACTTGCCTTGTGTGATAATTGGGAACTTTTTATTGCATGAATACAGAATTTTGAAACCTGAACTTAAATTTTAGAAATAAAAGAATGTTAGAAATATAAGAATCGCATATCTTATCTTACTAATATTATAAATGTGAAAGTTTGTGTGTTTGTTTGTTTGTTTGTTTGTTTGAAGTTCAATCACGCATAAACCACTGGACGGATTGGGCTGAAATTTGGCATGATGATAGCTCACATTCCCGATTAACATATAGGCATATTCTTATCTCAAAAATCCTTTCGGGCTCCACCCCAGTGGCTCTGTAGTTCCCCATGTTAACCTTATGAGTATTCATATTTAAAGGAAATTAAAGAATTTGGTCAGCATGTTTCAACAAAAAAGTTGGTTCTATGATATGCAAAAGCATTAAAAAGTTGTAAGATTTACCAACAGAGTGCAGCACTATTTTTATGGCATTTATGTAATCAGCTAATTTGAACCATAGATAAAACATACTCCCTTGAACTAAGCAGCAACAAAAAACTGTGATACGCAATGAGAACTGTCAAAGTAGGATTGTTAACAGTTATGTTTATGTTTTTACTGTCATGATTTTTTTTTAATTTTCATAATTTATTTTTCTTTATTGTTTAGGTGAAGTGGTAGAACATTATGGCTATGCTAGATGTGTAATACCATAGTATATCGTAAATTTAAAGATGCAAATTTGTATCAAACTGTGTCCTCCCCCATAGCAAACGTAAAGCTTGAGTATAACTGCAATAAGCATTTTAAGCTTACATGCCAACCCCGTACGAAGGACGGGTACTCTGCTAGTTTACAATATGATTATTACAAAATTACTGCAGTTCTAATAGGAATTGGTCCATTACTAATTCAACAAGTTAATTTGATCACCAATACAATTTGTGTGTTAATGTTGTAAAATGAATACTGTACTGGAAACGTAACTAAATAATTAACTAAAAATATAGACTAACTTTTTAACTTAATAATAATTTTATGAATCGCAAGTAAAGGCCCCCATGGACCGTGGAAGACACGATTAAACAATATTATCATAGTGGCGTCATTGAAGTTGTTACAGACATCGGAAACTGTTATAAATGAAATAATATTTATAGTATAATACAATTTACTTAATTAAGAATGTAAATGAGTTGTATGTAGCATATCACTTTTATTTTGTTTAGGATCTACGAATGAATGCAATTCGATTTAATGAATCATTTCAAGAAATAAACCAACTAATTATAATGACCACTTATAAATACAGTGCAATGTATTAAGCCACTATAAATAGTTCCATGACATTTTTTAGTATTTCACATAAAACTATCAGAAGAACAGAAATATTTGTACTCGGATCTTCTTGGTCAGTTTAAACTTTGTAGCTTTAATATCAAAGTAGGCCATTTAATCGACAAAAAAGATGATTTCTTAGGAACCCAGCGATTACATAATATCTTTGCAACTTGTTTTGACCAACAAAATCGTTGTAAACTATTGATTAAGGTTTGATGTTGCAGAACATTGTAGAGTTGTAATAAAGCATTTCAACAATTACGCGGCAGTTTCATGTAAATCACAATTGAATAATGTATTTCTATGTTTTAACAATATTTCATACTTCCAGAACTCTTTTTGAACGTTAGAATCGGTTAAGTGCTTTTATCTTGCTAAAAAAACAACTATGCCCATTAAAAATTACCCTTAGTGTATAAGCTGGAAAACAGCTATTTAATCATATCTCATAAACTTGTGTATAAAAAAGTAAATACAGTACTATTAATTAATTGTGATTTTAAATCCAGCAACGGTGTGTTTTTATTTAATATCTTAAATAAAAACACACCGTATACCACCGTCCTCGTACTTGCTTTTATTTATTTTTTTTTCTATTTACGACAAAACTATATCTATATATCTAATTCCGTAAGCCCAAAATTTTACAATGAAATTGTGAGCGAACTGGAGGCCGTAGAAAGCTGGGAGGGGTCTCATTTTAAAGGTCTGGGCATGAAGTTTTGGGGAAAAATGCTCATTTTTCTTACTTATGCACCAAAAGGTTATTACAGGATAAAATAAATCACATTTAAATAGCATGGGAATCCAGGTCATGTCCGATTTGTTTACTTTAAAACATGTGGTTTAGATTTATTTAAAGCATATGGTAATATCATTGACTATTGGCTACAAAAGTTGTATTAATAGTGTTAAAGGTAGTATGTAATATATGTATTGTATGTAACTATAGTGCATTTGAAAGTAAACATGCGTGCAAATGAAAATGAAACAGCATTTTGTGATTGGCTTCTACGCTTATATTAGGTAATGGAATCTTAGAGAGCAATAGTGCAACACCGGCAATTGACATTCCAGATAACTTTGTTCTCTCTGATTGTGCAATTGTTTATGGCAACTCAATAAATCTAGAAAATATTCAAAACTACTCCAATCAAATAATTGTATGTCCTTTAAATGAACATTGTGATAATTTAAATGAAGAAGTATTAAAAATCTACTACAGTAATTATGAAGTAGTTTCAGAAGACCCTACAGAGAGGTTGAACATACCAATTGAGTTTATAAATTCAATTACACCATCTGGAATGCCACTACACAAATTAGTTTTAAAAGTTGGTTCAATAGTGATGCTCATAAGAAATAGGGTCTGGATTAGTTAATGGAGTACGATTGGTTGTGTTGGGTATGTCTGAAAAAAGTGTAAAGTTAGTAGTAATTACTGGAGTAGGGAAAGGGAACATATTTTTCATGCCAAAAATAAAACTAATATCTACAGATCCTAATATGCCCTTTAAATTTACAAAGGATTCAATTCCCATTGCGATTATCTTTCACCATTACTATAAATAAAGCGCAAGGCCAAACCTTCCCAAAAGTTGGAATTTATTTGAAAAAAAAAACAGTGTTTACCCATGGTCAACTTTATGTTGCTTTTAGCCGGGTAAAGCGGCCAGATGACGTTAAAATAGAAATAGAAACAAATAAAGACCAAGGAATGGACCAAAATGGATACTACACAACAAATGTTGTTTTCAGAGAGATTTTGTTACAGAATTAGTATTTTACAATTTGGAAGATGACATTATCTCTATGTGTTGTGTTTTTCTAAGTGAATTTGTCTATATTAAAAAAATGTATATATATTTAATTAATAGTGAAGATTATTGAAAATGTTCTTTTGCTGTATTATGATTAGAAAATTTATGTTACAAACCCACCACATGAAGAGTCCTTTTGAATTTTTATCCTAAACAGAGCAGACATAAAAATGAATTATGCAGGTATGTGATAACTGTTATACATTATTATAATATACAAAAAATTTAAACGATAATTCAAGGTAGGGTACGGTAACCCATGAGACAAATAATTTGTACAAAATAATTATTAGAATATATTACATTTACTGTATATAGGGGCTATTGCCCCTACAAGCCACTAGTATTAGTTAAATAATTATATCGGAAGAAATATATTGCCGTTACACACATTACAATAAATTTACAATGTCCATACAATTACAGTTAAAGTTGGTTGTAAAAACGGGCATGCGATTTAATGAAACTGCAATAGTTTTGATGATTTAATTTAAATGAACATTGTACTTTTTGACGACAAATGTTTTTATAAAATCCCTTTGCCACCCCAAACTATTCTGATAATGCGCTCTCTGTGAGAAAGCTATATTCCAAGTATAAAAAGGAATTTGTAAGAGTCAAGTTTCATGAAAATGTAGCGTTTTACGAAATGTATGTCAACGTCAACGTTTGGTTTTCCTCCGTGATGAAATGTACGTGTAGGACTTCCAGGACATGAGTAGTCACAATATATTCGTATCAAGGTGAAATACAATATTTGGTACCGTACTGTAATTAATTTTTTAATTTAGTTTTTTACAAAAAGTAAAACTTTCGTGATTTTAAAGAAAGAATATGATTACTTGATTGGTGTAAATTAATTGCAACGTTCAAAATAAACACAGATATGTGATTTCCGTAACCACTAATGCTTGGAAATTCCTCAACATAACACAACTTTTAAAAACCTTATTTTTATTAACATTTCAACTCCTTACCCTAATCTTCAGCATGAAGTGTCAGATGTTGACACTATAAGGAAATCGGCAAAAGATTTTTTTCTGGGGAAATACAATAGTGTTTTGAGTACTCAATCAACTAGAGTCAATTTTTGTCGAATTAGCTGCACGATTAAAATGTAACATATTTGATTTTTACCGGTCTAAAGATTTGTTTTGATTTTACCGGCCACATTGTCTGGGAGTTAGGTACTTGAAACAGTTGTATGATAATAACGATCAAATAATTTTTAATGATACAGAGAAGCGAAAGAGTTGGTTTAGTAATGGTTTGTAGTACCGGTAATGTTCTTTTCTCATTTTACTTGAGTTCTATTATTTTTGTTAAATGAAATGTCAATATTTTTTAATGATTAATAACTATACACACCTACCGTTGCACCCTTTTTAAACTGAAATCTATTAAGTATAACTTTTGTAAGCAACTAAAAATCAGTCTGATCCTCAATCACTTAAAATCTGGCCATTGATTAAAGTTAAATTTACATGAATGGAGCTTGAACAAGATGACAAAAATTCGATCACATAAAGGTAAAAATGTTTAGTCTGAATAATAACTAAGGAAGTTTTATTGTCGGTCTTTTCGCTGACGATGCGTTTCTGAACCAGCTGACTCAGGAATCAGCATGTCAAACCACTCA